CGTGTATTGGATATCGGCTTATTTAAGTTGTTTGTGCAATCGTCCTTACTTTGTGGAGATCTGTGTGTCCTAACTGTCTGGCTCACCTCTAGGGACGCTTGTCATCACATGCGACGTGCGTGCTTGCTGTAGGCTGTCTGTGGGTGTATAGTCCCAGTGCTTAGGGTTTAGGGTTGGTTGTCTGTGGGCATCTAGTCTCAGTGCTTAGGGGTTGGGGTTGACTGTCTGTGGGCATATGGTCTCAGTGCTGTGTGCTAAAGCTCGGTGTTTCCTCTTCCATCGGTTTGTGTTCACTGATACCACTGGTTGCCTGCCTCACTATCTGGTGCCACAAATGACTTGTACGTGAACAGTGTGTTCAACGTGACAACAACAAACAACAGCAACAAACAACCAAACAATGGATATCCTATGCGACTGAGACTGTCGGGTGTTGTTTGTCTCCCGAATATCTGTTGATCACACCTTTGACGTCGTGGAGTGTGTCTGCGCATAGTTTCTGCGCTGACAGTTCCGTGTGTTCTTATTTTCACTTCCACATGACTTCTTCGTGTTTTCTCATGCCAGCATGTATTAGGGTTTAGTGTGTATCAGCCGTGTATGGTTTGGCTCTCACATCACAGCTATTGAATTCAGCCAACATAGTGCAGCTCTATGTGTGTTTGCTGCTACTTATGCAAGGATATATCTCTTTCTTTCGCGTACATAGATGCATGCATGGATCTCGTGCCCCCCCCCATATCACCACAGCAAATGACTTTAAATCAAGCCAACCCAGTGGGCTGCGAATTAGCGCCAGCGTTCATCTGACATAGTCGCGTGTAGTAGAACATATGTATGTGTGTGTTAACTGAATAGCTATGCTGTCATGTTCATTTTATGTACTTATACGTATCTGTATCTGTATTCACTGTTCGTAGCTTGGCTCCCCAATTACCACAGCAACTGAGTCCAACCTGTATCTGAATACCTGCACGCACTGGAACATAGTGAACCCATGGCTTATAAGAAGGGAAATCTTCGTTACTCGCACATATATATATATATATATATATATATATATGTATGTATGTATATATACATATGAGTGTCTATTGCTATTATATCTCTCTTTCGCGTATCTATATTCACTGTGCATCGCCTGGCTTCAATTATCACAGCAAATGAATCCCAACCAAGTCAACCCAGTAAGCCGTGGATCTGTGACGTCACTCGCCCGATATAGCCGCGGGCGTGGGACTAGGGGTATGAATTGAAGTTGTGGTCTCTGGGTTTTAGGGTCTAGGGTTTTCACTTGCTCGTTAATGTTGCGGTCGTGGAATAGGAGGGTTGTACTACGGTTGGTCTCTGGGTTTTAGGGTTGTCCTGCTGTGATTGGATATGCCTCATTAATCTAGGAGGTGTGTATGTGTGTTATACTGATCTGTGTGTTGTGCTGTGTTGTACTGATGGGTTGCATCTAGAGATGGTGTTTTAAAGGTTGAGCAGAAGTTGCAATGCGATCCCCTTGACCGCAAAGGCCAGTAGACTAGTGATGCAGGCACGTGCGCACTCAGCGGTATGTGTATGGCTTGCACCAGGTTGTATGGTTTCAGGGGTTGAGTTGCTTCTCCCATCTGTTCATATTCGAATGCGACACCACACGGTAGACATCGTACTGAAGCTCTCTTTACTCTCTTTTGAACCCTCATCCTTGCTCATTGACCGGAGTTACCAGCTTGAACGCCAACCACTATCATACACCAACCAGGGGCTAAACCCTAACCTTACCATCCAAACCCTAAACCCACCTGCAGGCGAGAGTACACGGCAAGACCTGGGCCGCAGATACACGTCCGCCTCGTTGCTTAGCAACGGCACACGTCCCGGCAACGCCGGCGGGGGCGTGACTGGTACAGTCTCAGGCACAGGCACACCCACCACCGACACACACGACCGCGACAGAGACAACAGCGGCGGTTGGCAGACCCAGCAACGCCACGGGAAGTCGTCTGTGGATGGGCTGCAGCAGAATGGCTGGAGCTCCCGCACCCCAGTCTCGGGTGGGACGGGCCGAGAAGACCTGGCCAGCCTGCACCCGAACGAATTTGGGACAGGGCCGACGGGTGCGGCTGAACGTGAGCGGGGTGTGCCGTCCGATGCAGCCACCCCGGGCGGGGCCGATATAGGCGTGGGTGTAGGCGGATTGATTGCGGGATCCCGCATTAGCGTTACCTACCGCGAAGCCCACACTCACCGCCGCCTGACGGCTACGATGAGTGCCACAGGGCCTGTGGGTAGTGCCACGGGCTTTGGGGCTGAACGGGCTAGCAACCGTGACTCGCCGGGGATTGATTCACCCGTTTTGGGCCGGTCCAGCTCGAAGCTGTCCAATTGGGTAGGTGCCGGTGGACTGCTTTCGGGGTCACGTTGTTTGCTTGCGTGCTGTGTTTACCCCTTGGTAGGCGTGGTTTTGTTTTATAGTTGGGCTTGGGTTTGTTCTATAGTTGGGCTTGGAATTGTTCTATAGTTGGGCTTGGATTTGTTCTATAGTTGGGTTTGGATTTGTTCTATAGTTGGGCTTGTATTTGTTCTATAGTTGGGCTTGTATTTGTTCTATGGTTGGGCTTGGATTTGTTCTATAGTTGGGCTTGGATTTGTTCTATAGTTGGGTCTTGGGTATTTTGTTCTAGTAGTTGGGTCTTGGTATTTGTTCTAGTAGGTTGGGTCTTGGTATTTGTTTATGGTTGGGGTCGTTAGGTATT